CGTCTCCGGCAGCGCCCCCTGGCGAGGTCCCGCGGCGCGCGCCGCCGGCCGGCAGGCGATTGGTGGATCGGGCGGGCGCGTTCCCGTCGTGCCCCGCGGGAGCCACTGCGCCTCCCCCGCGGCGGCGGCGCGGCCCGAGCGCTCCCGGCCCGACCCGGCCCGGCCCCGAGCCGCCCCCGCGCCCCGCCATGCCCCCCAAGAAGCAGCAGCAGCCGGCGGGGGGCAGCAAGAAGGCCGACCAGAAGAAGAAGGAGAAGATCATCGAGGTGAGGAGGCCCAGGCCGCCGCTCTCCCGGCGCGGCCTCTGGCTGGGCCCTGCCGCTGCCCGCGCGTTCCCGGCGGAGCGGCCGAGGGAAGGACCGCGGAGCCGGAGCCGCTCTGCTCCCGGGGGGCTCCTGGGCGCTGCCGGGACCCGGCTGCGGCCGAGCTGTGCCGGGCCTGAAGGCGCTGTGACAGCACTGCTGAGCTGTCTTTTCCCCTCGCCCTTTCTCGTGTCCGCGTACGCCCAGAGTACACCCGGCTGGCTGCGCTGTAGCTTTGTGCTTTTGGGGGTAGGACCAGATGGTCTCCAGAGATCGCTTCCCACCTTAGTGATTCCTTGCTTCCTCCCTCAGCTTTGCGGTGGGTTCTGCTACAGTTTGACTCGTGTGACCAGATTGAAAAACAAAACCTGTTAGAGGGGTGTGTGTGTTTGTCTATGCTCTGTGTGTGACTTTATGTTGAGAGTACAAGCAGAGTAGTTACAGTAATTTAAATAGTTGCTTGAATTATTGGCATGAAGGGTGCTGCTCAGGTGAAATACCCGTGTAATGAGTATTCCTTTAAATCTGAGGTTGTGGGTTGTTGTTTCTGTGTTTTTGGAAAGGTAAGGTTAGAGCATTTGGTCTTGTGTTCTCATGACAGTGGAGTTCCTGAGGTTCTTGCTTAGTGTAGCTACCTCAGAAAAAATTCTGCTTTTTGCTACAAAGAAATGTAGCTGAAATGTGAAAAACTGGCATTAATTGTTAGCAATAGATTTTCATATATAAATGTTATGTTTTTCACAGGTTAAAATTAGTTATAAATACAGACTCTCATTTAGCTCAGAATTTCCTGTGGTTTTTGGAAAAGTCAGGTTAGAGCAGTTGGTCTTGTGTTCTCCTGATGTTGGAGTTCCTGAGGTTTTTGCTGAATGTAGCTGCCTCAGAAAAAAAAAAATATTCTTTTTATTACGAAGAAATGTAGCTGAAATGTGAAAAACTGGCATTAATTGTTAGCAATAGATTTTTATATAAATCAAATACACGTGCTGTACTTACAGTGGAAATCAAGTGTGTAAATGATAAATTTTCTTTTCCAACTCATTGTTTTGACTTCTCCGGTTAATACCAAATGACAGAGAAGCTGTTGTTCGTAGGGAGCTTGTTGTAAGTGAAAACAGCATGAGTCTGCATACTTGGACCTGTTTATTATGTAATTAATTTATAATATACTTTTGGATTCCAAAACCAGATTTGCACTGATATTTTCACTGGATGAACATCTGTTACTTTTTCTTCCAAAGAAGAAAATGTTGGTATCAAATCAAAGGCATGGATAAGTTTTTAAGGAAGATATTTCAGTTACATAAAATAATGTCTGCCTCAGCTACTGATGTGAAAGTTAGCTGTTTTTTTGGGGTGTTTTTTTTTGTGAAATTTTTCTTGGATTTGGTATAGAAACTTCTCCTTAACAGTAAAGCTGAAGATACAGAGGAAGAATTGGTTTAGGTAGTAAACAGGAACTTCAAGCAGTGGATTTTAGGAAGTAGAGATGCCTGTCCAGACGTGATGTAGCTAAAGACTTCACTTCAAATTTAGTAGAGTTGGAAAAGAAGAAGCTTCCAATACTTGAAAATAAAAAGCAGTATGTCACATGTGGTAATAGAAAAGTGGTGTTGTATAGATGCCTATCTGAATAGTTGAGGATAGAAGCAATGAGTGATTTCAGGTAGATGGAAGAGAAACCAGTAGTAGTTATGGCTAATTATTTGTCCTGTTTTACTCAGCTGTTCCTTGGGTAGTCTCCAAAAACATCTTGTCCTGTTGCCTTGAGAGGCCTGAGCATGCTGTGCTTGCACTCTCACACTGATAGCAGGCACAAGGAGCTCTGCTGATAAAAACAATAGCTCACACAAGGCCACATTCAGGAGGTTCTGGTGAAAAGCCACTTCTGAAGATGATTTAAGGAGTCTAAATTTTGTCCATACTGTTTCCTGTATAGCCTGTGTTGCTTGAGGAATTAATCTGTGTTTTACTGAAAGCCTGAGAGGAGTGGCAAGGGTGGGGTTTCTGTTGTTTTGATGGTTTGGGGTTTTTTTTTAATTAATATGGCTGTGTTTATGTCTTGATTTAGGACAAAACATTTGGCCTAAAGAATAAAAAAGGTGCAAAGCAGCAGAAGTTTATCAAGGCTGTGACTCACCAGGTTAAGTTTGGTCAGCAGAATCCACGTCAGGTAAGCATTTATTTTGGAATGTTTCCCACTGCATTGTCAAATATCCTTCACTCCCTGTACAGATGGTCAGGTACTGAAGGAGAAGGCAGTTGAGCTGTTCCTTGTCTCAGGACTGGCTCAGACCTAGCTGACAGTTATCTAGCTGTAGTTATGTACCTGTGTAAAGGTGGTACAGAGTGTGGGGGTTTGTTGGATTTGTTTGTTGTTTGGTTGGCTTTTGTTGTGAGAAAAGAACTGCATCCCATCCAGATTCAACTAGTCAGGGTGAGTGTTTGTCTCCACAGTATTCTGATAGTAGCATAATTCAGTTTAAGGTATGCTTGAAATGAAATAGTAGATACTGACTGTCAGCAAAGTACAGTTGCATCTTCTTTCTCTATTTTATCTTTCCCACCTTATTTGAGAAATAGTGAGCAATTAAAATTAACAATAGTTGTTACTAAAACTGGAGTTGAAAGTAGATGAAAGTATAAACCTATATGTTCTCATTCTTCTACTTACAGAAGTATTTATTACAATTTTAAGTGGACACAAGTCTGTCAAGTCTCCATCTATTTGGTGAACTTTTTGGTCAAAAAACCTGAAGTTTTGAGCTGCTGTGTGAAACTTGGCTCTTCTGTATGATGAAATAAAATGAGATGCAATGTTTACATTATACTCAGTCAGAAAGCATGGATTTCATGGAAATAGTCCAGCTTTCTTATTCCTACAGTGCTAGGAAAGCTGCTGTTACATACTTACCCAGCTTTCTGTCCTATGAATAAGCCTGTAAAATAATAACATGTACATTAGCTCAATTCATGATGTCATGATACATTTCTTGCATAACAAGGATTAGCTAACATGGAAAGCCCAACTTGAAAATAAAGTTGGTATTTGGGTCATTACATCTAATAGGGTTGTTTTGGTTTTTTTTTTGTTGTAGGAAATATTCCTTGATGTCACTTCAAAAACATTGGTGCTTTTCAAACAGTTGTTAAACTTGTGTATGAAATGCCTTGATCTGTGACATGTATAGAGATACCAATATGTAAAATAGCCAGCCTAAAATAGTGTCATTTCTCAAATGCTGGTAGCTACCAAGTGTTGGATGTCAAGACCAAATTTTTAAACCTGATTATACCTCTCTTACCTTATAAAATAGCTTTCAGTTAGGATTGTCCCTGAGAAAGAGCTTTTAAAAGCAATTTTTCTCATGTCATGAGATTAAAATAGAAATGCTGTCAGAGTTTTAGTGTTGGTATTGGGTATTTTTGGTTTTCTGTTGTTTTTGGTTTTTTGTTTTTTTTTTTGCTCCTTTTTTGCTTTGTTGTTTTACTTCTTTGATTTTGGGAGATTTTGTTTGTTTTTTGTTGGTTTGTTCATTTTCAAGCTTTTAGAGCTCTGAAGAGAAACAAAAGCCATCTTAAAGTACAATTTTCTGTAGCTGATATATGTGGATCTGTGTGTTATTTAAAATAGCATTTGTGAACTTTTAGTAGGAAAACTAGCCAAGCTGCTAATTCCTTTTTAAAACAATTTGGTGTATTTTTGCCAAATTCACCATAAGAACAAAGGTACTTTTTTAATATCACATTGTATTTTAGAACATAGTACCCACATACTTGTGGTGTTAGTCTCAATGGATTCCATAAGGACCAGAGTCAAATAAACACAGAAACCTTCATGGTAGAGGAGACCTCTAAGATGATTCAGTCCAGCCATTAACCCAGCACTACCTGTTCACCACTAAACCATGTTCCCAAGTGCCCTATCTGCACATTTGGAACACTTAGAGGGATGGTGAGTCCACTAATGCTTGACCCACCCTTTCAGTGATAAAATGTTTCCTAAAATCTCATCTAAACATTGTCTGGGGTAACTTGAGACTATTTCCTCTTATCCTGCCATTTGTTATTTGAAAAAGAGATGGATCCCCACCTTGCTAAAACCTACTTGCATATTTGATCTAAGAATATTTCTCCCATGTCCTCTTTTATGTGCTTTCATCCCACTTTGGTATAGACACACACCTGCTCTGGCATACCCAAAAAAGGGTCAGGAATTTTTTTCTTTATACATGCAGTTTTTCTTCCCTGGATGGGCTTGTTTTCCTGTCTTTGGTCCTTAGTTAAGCAATGAAACATTCATATCCAAGCTGAAATAATGTTCTAAAAGCACTTCCAACTTCTATGGACAGATTTCCTGGAATTTCTACCTGTTGTATAGATCAGAAGAAAGAGCAAAGCAGCATGTAGGGGACTGAAGAGAGGCTTTTTTCCTGCAGATTTAGAAGGAGTTGCACTGCAAAAGAAGTTTGAATGCCTCTCGTTGGCTTTCCTTCCTGTAAAGGTGCAGTAGGGGTCACTGTGACACTACAGGTACCTGCCAGCACCTCTCCTCGCTGGCAGAATTATTTTCTAAATATTTTGCTGTCCCTCCTGTGGGACAGGTCAGTGCCAGTAAAGGGCACCAGCTGCACACACAAGAGCAGCAATTGTGAGCCTTGCAGGCATCACATCATTCCTGCCCTTGCAAACTGATTTGGAATGATTGGCTGCTTTAAGGTACAGTTTGTGTGAAGTGAGTCCTGGCATTCTACTTTTATGTTTACAGGTTGCTCAATCAGAAAGTGAGAAGAAATTAAAGAAAGAAGATAAGAAAAAGGAATTACAAGAATTAAATGAGCTCTTCAAGCCTGTAGTTGCTGCACAGAAAATTAGCAAAGGTATGACTAATTGATTTCTCTTAATTTATGTTTTCTTATTCATAGAGCTACTTTAAGGTATAATAACCCTTCAAAAACACCAGTTATTTTAATGAAATAGATGTAACTATTTCCTCCTCCATCTAGTATGCCAAATATTTTGTCAGTCATGACTTGACATTGTTTTGGGAAGTCCTCTGGGGTCAGTAGATCATTAGAATAGCAAAAGCTACATTGATGTTGTCAGCACAGCTGAAGATACGTGGCTGTGTTCTGATTCATCAGATGCTTCTGGATGTGTGGAATGATTTTTTTATGTGTGATGGTATTTCTTTAAAACAGCTTGTTCTCCCCAGGGAAGTGTGAAAATCCAAAGAAAGAATATAAGATCATAACTGTTGTCTTAACAGAAGACTTGTACTCAAATCAGAACAGTAAATACTTTCCTCTTACTGGTCTCTCTTGAGATTGGTTATTGAACAAACAAATTTTGTGATGTTACCAAGTTTTTACTTACCTATCTTCTGGAGCTTATGTGCAATAATTTTTAACAAAAGAGCTATGATTTTTTGTATACTTAAAGCAAACCTGATATTTACTCACTGTGGCACTGATCAGCAACAAAAGACACTTTTCTGTTTGTGAACTGCAGCTTTCTGTATAAGTTTTCTCTAAATCAAGCAGTTTTTGAGTTATTTCAGAAAACTTGCATTACGCAGATTTTTAGGTTACATTCTAAACAGGTGTTGCTATACATACTGAAATCACTTTCAGTCAAACCAGAAGTGAAGCATCATGTGAAAACCTCAAGTCTAAAATCTTCCATGAGAACTTAATACTGAAGTATTTCTGATTTAGTCATGTCTCATAAATACACTTAGACCTGCTTCTTTCATTGCTAATGACCTTCTAATGGTCAAATGATTCTTTAGTAGGATAACTTTTACTTAAACTGTAGTTAGGGTGATTGTGTAGTTCATGTTAGAACAACAGTTGCTTATTTTGGGGTCTCTAATCAGCCATTTTCTTTCTATTTTTAACGGAGAAAAGTGGTTTGAGTGAGTGTGGGTTGAATTACTGTAATTTATTATAGTGTGGTTTTGATCTGTTAGGAAAAGGCTGGCATCCAGAAGATGCTTTACTCCGTACTGGGGGCAAGAATAGCTTCTTGTTTAGAGAAGAAGTTGCACAGAATCATTTCTGATGTATTGTTATACACAAATTAATAATTTGCTCAGGCACACCATATTTATTTCTTTAAAGAGTTTAGTGGCAGCTCTGATACTTAATGTAAATACCATGCAGTAAAAGTAAATTTGGCAAGTTCAGAACATGAATTATGTACTTACCATGAACACTTTAAATATTTTATCTTCAAAACATATTTTCATTCTCTACTTATCCTTGATAGTCTCAGAATTGCTAATATATAGCTCTTGCTTAAAAACAGTATTGAAATATAAAAACTTCCTTCACTCAGGTGCTGACCCAAAATCTGTAGTTTGTGCTTTCTTCAAGCAAGGCCAATGCACTAAAGGAGACAAGTGCAAGTTTTCTCATGATTTGTCATTGGAAAGGAAGTGTGAAAAACGAAGTGTCTACATTGATGCAAGAGATGAAGACCTTGAAAAAGGTATAATAGTTGTGGAAAGTTATTGCTAAGCTATTCTGATTCTGAAACTGGAATTTTGAGTGTCTTCTGTATTGTGGTTATGATCTTGAAGCGCAGTGACTATGGCAGTGTCATGTATTCTGTGGTGCAGGTTGCAAGTTGAGAAGTATTTGACCTTTCTTGCAGTTGCTGTTTCCCTCTTAAGCTCTGTAGAAAGGAAAAGGGGAAGTGCAATGAGCAGCCAGAGTTGCTTTCCAGAGCTGCTAGTAGTGTTTGGCCAAATGTGCACCGTTCTACATTTAGGGGTACTTGGGAATTTTTTCTGTGACTTTCTCTCCCCAGATGACTTGTTGGCAAAATACTCTGGATTTTACTTTTATTCGGCAGGGATTCAAAATTTTATAGAACTTGGTTTTTTCACATTTCCTTAGTCTCAGTCTTTATTTGAATTTTAGCCTCTGTCATCCTAAATGTATGTGATGGGATCCCACAGATTTACTGCTAATGTTGTTATTGGTGATTTGCTTCTTTAGGTGGAAGTTTCTTTCAACTTTAACACAGATAATTTGGTGTTACATCTTTCAAGCCTCAAGTTAGATTAATTGTATTTCTGGATGTTACCCTCCAACCTTCTCTTTTGTTCAGTTGTCTTGTTTTAACTGAAATACACTTTATACATTTCAAAATTAAAATTTCTAGGGCTTTTGAGGTAATTGTCCTTTGAGTGATATGGAAGAGTTTGCAAACAATATTTTAAGAACCTAAATTTATTTTCCCTAGTATAAGCTACTTAAAATGTAACAATTGGATATTAAAACTGTTGCTGGACAGAAAACCAGCTGGCTGGCAATGTTCAGTATTTGGAATTCTCTGGGACACCATCTGTTGTTATTTTCTAGATACAATGGACAACTGGGATGAGAAGAAGCTGGAAGAAGTGGTGAACAAGAAGCATGGTGAGGCGGAAAAGAAAAAACCCAAAACCCAAATAGTACGTCTGCTATTATTTTTTTTTTTTTTTTTTTTTAATTGAGCTGTACTAGAAGGGATTAAGTACAGTGCAGTCTGGCATTAGATGTGTTTATCATTATGTAAAAATTTAGAATGGAATATCATAATAATAATAGTATTCTGAGTAGATGGCTGGCCCGATAGTATTTATTGTAATATCTTTAAAAATTAAAAAATCAAACCACAAAGAAAAACACGACCCAACAGCACTTTTCAGTCCATAAAAAGTTTTGTCATGTTTGTTACAAATGGATAGTAGGTGGAGTGCTTTATAGAAATGCCCAAGGTTTCAGCAGTATATCAAACACATTCTAATTGCATAGAAAATCCAAATATTGTGATTAGTGAAATTGCAGTGACTGTGATTCTTACTGACTTATCTATGTACTGGGTGACATACAAGCATTATAAGCTTTTGAATTTTCACCTAATTTATGAATTGAGAGTAATTTGTAATTCCTGGACTCTTAAGTTCAACAATATTTTTTAGTTCTTCACTAAATGGTATGATGGGTTAATGCCTTTTTCATTCTTTGGGACTGTTTCACCTAATTTTCAATACCAAGTAATTAAATAGTCCGCTGGTACAGCCTAAATTTGCAAAAGTTAAAACATTGCTGTGGCTAAATATAAACTATGAATTGCTTGTTAAAGATCCTAGGATGGCATATTTACCTCAGGATCCAGAGCTGGAAGGTTTGACAACATGGGAGGCAGATGCAATTTGTGTTGTTTAAAACTGCACCAATGTTGGTGAGGAGAAAGAGATGTGCTGCTGGTTTTACAGAAGTGCAGAGTTGCCAGGTCTTCTGTCATCTTGTCTTTTTTTAATTGGAATCATATTGAGGAAGCAAAAGCTGTTGACTACATGAGTTTTAGATACTCGGTTGCACTACTCTGCCTATTATTTTTAGTAGCAATGTAATTCACGTGTTCCTTCTGTTCTGAGCACAGCTGTGTTGGACTTACTGGATTTCTGACAAAGGATGTAAAATGCTGGGGATGGAAAGAGGACACAGTGCTAACAACCACTGGTTTTATACAGGTCTGCAAATACTTCCTTGATGCTATTGAGAACAACAAATATGGATGGTTCTGGGTCTGTCCAGGTGGAGGAGACAACTGTATGTATCGCCATGCCCTCCCTCCAGGCTTTGTACTAAAGAAAGACAAAAAGAAGGAAGAAAAGCAAGATGAAATTTCCTTAGAAGATCTCATAGAAAAAGAGGTAAAGTTGTTAGACAGCTATCTTTTGGTGGTAGCTGCTTGTATTACTCCGAAGAGATGCATAAAAAGTTTACTAATTTATAATAAGAAACTATTAGATGTTTTTAGAGCTGTATAAGCTGGGGCAAAGGATGCATAGCATTGTTTCATGTTTTTGTTCAGAAACTATTATTTACTGAATAGGATTAATTATAGCTCCATACTTAGTGCAGCTGTTGCTTACCCCTTTTTTAGGAGGCTTCCATTTCTTAACTGCTGTTTCTCATTTATCCATTACAACTGCTTCTGTGGCTTTTCTCATCCCCAGCTCAGTGTCTGCTTAACTCTCTAATGAGGCAGCAACACCAAGAGCACAAGGCCTTCTGAAGGTGTTGCTGCTCTGCTACTTTCTGTCCCCATTGCTTGGCAGTGTCACTTGAGCAGAGCTGAGCTCTTGTCTTTATTTCCTCCTCCACTTTTCCTATAAATTTTCATGCTAACTCATCTCACTAACTAGAAAATCCCATGTTGAGTCAAATGTTAAGAAGGTGATGCATGTTTAACATACATCTTAAGTGTAAGAGTCAAGAGGGACTTGGAAAGAAATGTTTTCAATTAGTTTCTAAAAAAGAGTAATTAAATATGCAATTTGTTACAGCCTTTGGAAAGAGTTTCTAGCATTAATCAGCCTCTTTTCTGGACAGCGTGCTGCCTTAGGACCAAATGTTACCAAAATTACTCTAGAGTGTTTTATTGCATGGAAGAGAAGAAAAAGACAAGAAAAAATTGATAAGGCTGAGCAAGATATGGAGAGGAGGAAAGCAGATTTTAAAGCTGGCAAAGCATTGGTGGTAAGTTTTACCGTCCAATTCTTAATTGTAAGAAGAGCAACTAAAAGTTTTGTGAAGAGGTAGCTGGCCTGAAATAGTTTTGCTTATTATTTTATGTCATTTTAGTTTCCTTTTTTGTGGTTTGTTTGCTTCTGGGTTTTTGTAGGCAGTGTAAATTCCATGAAATGATAACTGAAGGTTTCTTTTGCTGTGAATAGATCAGCGGACGTGAGGTATTTGAGTTCCGGCCAGAGTTGGTTGATGCAGATGATGAAGAAGCAGATGACACCCATTATGTTCAAGGAGCAGGAGATGATGATGAGGTAAAGGAAACAGGATTAAATCAGGGAATATTTTAATTGCATTCAAGTTTGAAAAATGTCAGCTTGAAAGCCCTTACAATGAAAGTAATAAGCTTGGTTGTTAATACTGCCACAGAGTATATTTTATCAGAAGGTCCTGTTTAAGGTGACAAATGTTGTAGAAATCCTGCATAAGTGAGGATTTTTGTGGAAATGTAATTCATGCAGAGCGTCTTGGTTAATTTTCCAGATGGAAGACCCTGTGTGCATAAATGATGTAGATCTGAACCTGTATGTCCCCAAGGCAGTAGAGGAGACTGGTATTACAGTGGCTAGTCCAGAGCGATTCAGCACATACACTTCAGTAGAAAAAGATGGTAAGTTGTTATTTTTTCCAACTTGTTTTCATAGTTGATTATCCAGCCTTGCATATTAACCAGGTACATGCATTTTGGCCAATATAAGTCTGTGTGAATTTCAAATAAGTAGCTTCTTGATAGTTTCAAAATTTGAAAGCATGTTTAGTAGGATTGTGGATTCAATTGGTGATTAAGAATCTTGTGACACTGAAATGCCTGAGAATTATGTTTATTTTCAGATAATAAATTAAGTGAAGCTTCTGGTGGTGATATAAACAACAGCGAGGAAAATGATTTAGAGGAAGATAATGATGGAGATGGGGACTTGGAAAATGGAGTCATTGATGCAGTTCCAGTTGATGAAAATCTCTTTACTGGAGAGGACTTGGATGAACTAGAAGAAGAACTAAACACTCTTGATTTAGAAGAATGAACTAAAAAGCTCCAGTGAGGCATTAAACCTATGTGAAAACTGACTACATTTTTTTCTCCTTTTTGAATAGAATTCTTAAACAAGATGTTTATGGTTATGCAGCTGAATATGGTGGGCACGTGATAAAGCAGGAATGTTTTCCTTCAATCTCATCTACTCCAGTCTTGGCTAAGCTCACAGTAAAACGTTCAGAGTAGTTCAGAATTACCTGACAACTGAATTTGCAGACAGTGAGATTAAAACTTCCATCTGAGAGTAGGAAGTGTAACTGCTTTGCCAGTATGCAAGTGGGCAGTTTGACATCAGGTACAGTACAAAAATACAAGTATACATTCTTCACCAAAACCTCATTTTTATTAGTGATTGTGTTGATTTAGAAACTGCCTGAAGTGGTTTTTAGGCATGGTACTCTAATGGAGCTGATGCAGATTATGCTTCTTTAAGTGTTGATTAGCTTTATTTGATCAGCTGGATACTGAAGATTGTGAACTGATATTTCATACAATACCAGTACGGTGCCCTCTGTTTAAAATGTTTTAAACTTTCCCACCATCTTTTGCCAATAAATCTGTAAATAAAAATTACCAACTTGAAAATATCTGTGTTGATTTTTCTCTGCTAAGTTAGGATATCATACCAAACTGTTAAGAACTGAATTTTCTGATGGAGTGGTAGATGTTTTTCTCTGCAGTCTTGATACAGAAGTGATGATGTTGGCTTCAGTTAAATTTGGGCTAGCTGCCATTATAGGTTTTTTTGTCTGCTCTTGACGCAGTGTAAAATTCAGCAGCCAGCTTTTCTCCCTTGCTGTTCTTATCCCCTGCCCACCCATTAACTGATGTAATACCTGCTATACATCACTGACTGCTATTCCAGTCTCATTCTCTCCCCACTGTCTTTTGTAGATTAGTGAAGACCTCAGGCTCTGCAGAACAGGGATGTTACAGCCCAAAACATGTCTGTCATCCCTTTGGTGTCCTCTAGATAACAGGAAGTTGTACAGGGGTAAGTTCCCTCAGGTGCTGGACCCTGCAGACTGCACTTGATCCAAGTCATTGTGTTCTTTTCCAGTGCATTGAGTGTCTGCCACAAAGATTTCTCAGCAGTGGTGCTTTTCCAGGGGGCTGCTCCTCCTTGCCATACTCCCTGTGGTGTCTGCCACAGTCCTGCTGTACTGATGATACCCTTTGTATATCGATTTTTCTAAAGCTCTTAAATCTCTACTTCCAGACCAGTAAGAGTTATGGCATTGTTAGAGAGCTTTCCCAAATTGCTTTTGGATGGTAATATTAGCTTTACTGGTTATTTCTGGCACTGCTGAATTGACTCTTGTATCTTGAATGCTATTTCTAAAATAGCAGACTTAGAATTTTTGGCCTTTTTTGGGATCTTTGTGGAATTCATTTTTTCCTGTAGGAACAAGAAGCAGTGCTTGGGAGAAAGAGGCCTACTGAAAGTGACTTCTAAATGTAAGTGTTTAAGGAAAAGCTGCACTATCAGATATAAAGATTTATTTATGCAGATTTTTCTCCTGTGGCCATAAATAAACAGAGTTGATGGATTATTGTATTATACTGGCCAGCAATAGAATGCCTGGCTATCAGGACACTTAAGAATGCAATTCATTTGAATGTATGTTGCATAAATTTTCAAAGTTGTATATTTTAAATGGGAATAAAAGTAATTTAATCATTATCAAGGAAGAAAATGGCTTTCTATGTTTTGTGTCTTAGGGATTGGTTTATTGTATATAATACTCATTTTGATAATACTTACCTGTTTTATTGATGTAAATAGCTAAAACCTTTGCCAACATTCTGTTCATGTTACTTGTGTTTTACAGTGGAGAAATGTCAGGGTGACTCATTAATTTCAGCTAATAAAACCCTGATGGATAGGCAGAGAGTGCCTATGTGCCCTTTTGGGTCTAAAAGGATGGTTGTGATGCACAGCTCCTTTGTACAGATGTCATTTAAACATTTGGACACTCACCCTGCCTAGCACTGAAATCCCCTGAACATCTGTAAGCTAGCTGAAGAAAATCTGATTTTCCTGAGCATTTGCTGTTGACAGATGACTTCACATGGGCAGGAAATAATAGCTGGCTGTCCCTGTTTGGTTTTCACTCTTTTTTCCTCTCCACTTACTCTGGCACAGCTCCTGGCTGAGCTTCCTCTGCCCAGATTTCCCACCATGAAAGCAGGGTGACTGCTCTTCAGGAGCCCTTTGTCATGGGAGCATTCAGACTTCTGAGGGTGGGGAACCCTATGCTGCTACATGTTCCTTCTGCTTTCATAGGGGCTGCTAAAAGTTCATCTTCTCATTTAAAGAACCTTGGATTTGTAGCTAATGGGGTTTCAGTCAATAAATGTTCAGTTGCAAATGAATGCCAAGGCATTGCTTGGGCTAGATGAATTATTAATGTTCAGGAAATGAGCAGTGGTATAGAAGGGAGTTCACTTGGATGTGATGTCACTAAGTTCTTACTGATGCACATTTCCTGAAATTACTGTGATAAAAGTCAATGAGTCACTTCTTCAAGAATGAGATATAATCTCAATGGAAAAATAATGGTGTCTTCATTTCAGTGACTACCAGTCTGTAGGGGTCAAAAGTACAGTATTTCACTGGTAAAACAGCAGGCCGGCTCAGTTCAGGCTGTAAAGCATCATCAGCCAGGTAAGAAACACCTCTGCGATAAACTTGGTTTCTATCCCTTGCAGCCTGGACCAGTGTTTCTATCACCCTGTGTTCTCCTAACTCCCATGAGCACTTGGTAAGAAATGCAGCTGTGGCCTGAGCAAGTCTTGAGATAGCACTGCCTTGAAAGAACCTTTGGTACTGGACATGTGGGGGGACAAAACCAGTTAAAGGTACTGCAGTAAACCCATGCCTTTGCTTCCTGCCATTTGCTGTTGTGGGAGTAGAGTATTGGCTGGTTTTCAATTTTGGTGTGTATTAAAATCCCATTTCAGTCACACAAACTGCATGAACTGCTGAAACTGGCTAGCTTTAAATTCTTTGAAGTTCTGGCAGTTCTTTAAAGCCTGTGTGATTAAATTTTATGTTTGCCATTGCTTTGTTGCTCACAGCTCCCTCCTGGTTTTTGTAATGAGCACTCTTCACTAAGGCCTGCAAAAAACTGTCAAGACTGACCTTAAATATTGCATTATCTATGAGTTGTTTGTAGTAGAAGTGTTGCCATTTCTTAATGGAAGGTGCTCCCCCACTGTTTTTTATCAAGAGGAGGTTTTATTATTGATAAATCTTTGGACCAAGCAGTGGTATTAACTTGGCAATTCAGTATTTTCATAATAGATTGTTTAGTGTGTTGGTTACGGAAAGAATGTACAAATTCAAATCAGTATGTTTTTATTCATGTTTTCTTTCACAGTTTAGTTGGATGTGGAATAACAGCTGTCAAAAAGCTGTGTTCTGAATGCTGAATTCTAATTCTTTTGCAATGCTAATGCCCCTTTTAAAAATTACCTGAATATAGTAAGTAATGCAGACTTAATTTTGGTAAGCTTATATATTTTGCAAATAGCATACTTGGAGGTTTCATAGACATCATTTGTTATTCCTGTTCCATGTGCTGTTTTGTAATAACTTACTGAAATTGCAGAGTGTTTAAGCAAGTAAACTAAAAATCCTTCAAGGTTGGGTCTTTGTTTTCCTCACAGTGAAATTATTACAACCCTAAGCTGAGAGGAAGGAATTGTTTCTCATATGCCAGCATCACATACATATTCACCTGAAGTGTCTCAGGAAAAAATATCCCCTGAATAAGAACTGGAATGAATATGAATTGGAACAGAATTGGAAAAATGAGATGTGGGAAGGCCAGAGAAGCTGCAAAAACCCATGTAACAGCAGCTGCACTTCATCAGACCAAAGGACTGTTTATAACACTCCCAAAATGAGACACCTGAGGAACAAAAAGGTGGGAGAAGGACAGGCCTGTGCACTGCTCAAGTGCACTTCTCTCATGGAGCTTACAACAATTCCTGATCTGGAACATTTCCTCTGCTAGATGGAGCCTGTGGGGCCTTTCTTTTCAGAGTACATTCCCTCTTTCCCCCTTGAATCCCTCGACTTTCTAACCAGCTTCTGGAAACTCAGGAGTTCCACACCTCTACTACATCTTGTTTGGAGCATGACTCCTGCTAGCTTGGGTTCTTTCAGGAAGTCACATCCTGTGCTTTGCTTTGACTTAAAGCCAAATAGAGAAAGGGGGTGTAAAAAGGGAAGCTGATGTATTTCACTTGTGAAGAACTCAATATCTTGATGTACTTCAGTGCTAGAAGCAGGTTTTGTTTCTAAATTAAAAGCTTTCTCATTACATACTTGCTTTTTTGCTATAAATGGGCCCCTAATAAGCAGAATCTTTTGTGAAGCAAACGCTTCATGAATGAAGCATTTGAATGAAGTCTTTGCTTCTGGTGAGGTACCAGGTGTATTTTTTGGAGCTGTGATCAAGTTAAGTGCTTTTACTGTGATATGTGCACGTGACCCTTTTCTTTTTCCCCCACGATGGTATTGCAGGCTTAGAAGTGACCTTGGCTTTGCCTGTCACACTTACTTCTTCCTTTCAATGGATGCTCTGTCTTTTTACAGAGAGCAGCTGTTGCTGGTGTTAGCAATAAGGCCAAGATGTTTTATTCATTTATGATGTTAGAGCCCTAATATGTGACCACAATAGGCTCCTTCATTGCACATTATTGGAATGAATGCCAAAAATAATCAGTTCTTTCAATCATAAAATAGCAGCAGCAACATTTTGTCTGTGTTTAGGGAAAGAGACCTTGGAGGTAATCTCTTTATCTTACATTTGTGGTTGAAAATGTAGTGTTGTAATACGTTTGGACCTAAATTTGAGCAAGGCTGGGTTAAAACTTAGAAGCAGTCCCTGAGTTTACTTCAGAAATGAGACAGACTCCTAAATGGAAGAAAGAAACCATGGCAAAGAAAGCATCACAGCTTTCCTTTAGAAAAGGAAAAAAGCAGAAGCAATCCTGAAGGAAAGAGATGAGCAAATTACTATAGAAGGTCCCCGAGGCAAAACAATGTTCTTTCAATGTATCATCAGGGAAATGTATTCTATGGAGGCTGCATCCTTGGGCCTATGCTTGAATGAAACTGTGTATCAGCACATAATATGAATGTAGCACATCTCTTGCAGGAAATCAGCTTGTAACTTGTATTTCTCAGGCCCCTACAGTATATTTTGACAGGATTGCTCTTCTAGGAGAATTTTTGTCCGATTTGTGTTCGATCTCCACTTCTGTTTCGTTCCCTTGGTTTTCCTTCCTGTGCTCTGAGCACAAGGCAGGCAGAGATGGGATCAAAGAGGGTGTGGTAGTTTGGTCTCAGCACAGTAATACAAATCCATTGCCAGCTCTCAAGCACTGTCGTCTATCTATCTTAGTGATCTCTGACATGACAGGTAGTTTAGTTCTTTCATTTAGAAGCAGTAGACTGCTTCAGAAAAAAATTGACTTCCACTTCAAAAATTCCATAGTTGCAACTTAATGCCTCCTTAAAATCAGGTAATAGCCAAGTTTCTAGGTGTGAAACCTTTAATCTTCATTCTTTATCACTTTCTCTTGGTGTCTTCTCCCTCTGCTGAGTATAAACACAGGGGAAGGGAGGCTCTTCTGACTGACCTCTCTAATCCATATCAGCTAGCTCAGCAGTCCTGGTGCAGGCAGCTGCTGCCTTCTCCTTGTGAGCCCCCTGCACAGGCCTGGTATCTTCAGCAGGGTGCCTACCTAAGGTGTGCTTCCAAACACTTCAGGGGTTTGTTTATCAAATGGAGGTAAGGAGGATTAGGAAAGCTAGTCAGAAGGAATAGAGCAAAAACTATTTCTTCAAATGTCTGACAGACTAAAGTCAAAATTAGAGGAAACCATAAACTGTAAAGGTTTCACTGTTGTGAACTATTTCCTTGAATAAGCTCCTGGGACGTGGCAAAGCTGCACTTTGTCAGCACTATCAGCCCTACACCACAAGCTCTTCAGTCATTTTCTTGTCAATAGAAGTCTGTTTTCTGTACGTGGCAGTACCCACACAGTGCCTTCCACACAGAAATACCAAGTTCCAGTTCTGCACAGCAGTTGCTATACATGAATAAGTGCCCATTATTTGTTTGTATGGGCAGCCAGGACAAGTGGAATGAGGAATCTTCCCCCAAGAGGGCAAAAAAGGGAAAAGCTTAAATGTGCTCTTTATTCAGGGCATGGAAGTGTCTGTCGTTTCCACCACTGATAACTTGTCAGCATTAACTTCTGTTTGCTAGATGCAAAAATAGTTCTTTCACCAGCAGTGCCCAGCTGGGACTCTACTGGAGTGACCCCTGGCAATGGCAGGCTGATGGCTTAGAAGAAAATAGTACAAAATTGAAAATAAACCAAACACCCCCACCCCTCACTGCCCTGGCCAAAACCCTCTTTTAGAGTGGATAAAGGTCTGATTATGTCTTGGTCTATGTTTAGTTTTATTTCTCGAGGGAAGTTTTTGTTATGTTACTCAACAATGGCATGGTCACCAATATACCATGTTTTATAGATAAGGACGTGCTTTGGTTTAATATTAATGCCAGAGAGGACAGTATTACTTGGCCACAGTGGATCAAAATATCATGGCTTCAAGGTGAGTGGGAGTTGGGGTTCTCTGGGGAGAAAGGGGCATTTCTGCTTA